ATATTGTTTTGTGCAATTCTGTATCAATGTATAGCTAAATTTATGTATTTTTCATATTTTTTCTTTATATCTTTGTAAGAAGAAAGACAAATTTTTTATGACTTTGTAATGGTTTCAACACAATAAAATTCATTCATACTTTAAATGCATTTTTTCGATACACCTACAACAAACAAGAATAATATTTATGTACAATATGTGTGATTGATTTAATTCTCACCCTAGTGACTAGAAGCAGTCCAATAAGGTATCCGATAATTGATATTACTCCGATCACCCAAACTTTCTTCTTCTTTAAGTAGGATGGGAATTCATCTATAACAGCTGTCATCACTGTTTGAACAATCACAATCTGAAAAACAAAATTACATCTTATTAGCACTTGGGCCCACTTTTTGGGGACATACGAAACAAAACAACAAAATACAACCTTTCAGTTATACTGATTTCAAAATGGTAAACTCGAGCATTAAACTTGTTAATGTTGGCTCCAGAAATTTGCGGACAGCAGGGTCCGAACTAAGAGGCCGACTAGAGCCTAGGTCAGGGTACCAGAATAATAATTCCGGGTAGGGTTCATGGGTAGAGTTTTTATGGCTTAGTATGCAACAAAATTGTGCTTTTAGATGCCAATATGAAGGATTGGCTATAAAAATAACGAAATTTGGATATTCAAATTAATATTTTAAGTCAGTCAGATGACGGGGCCCAAGCTTGTCCAGGGCCCAAGCTTGTCCAACCCCCCCGGCCGACTACTGATTACACTAGAAAATACTGAAAGCTAGATCAAGGCAACAGACAAATCTGAAACAATGCCAATAAGCAATGCATCACAGAAAATGTGAAGAGGCATTAAAATAAGAAATCAAGTCATTTATCTTGCTATAAAGATGCCCGTTTTCCTAAAGCAGTCTGTTATGGGAGAGTGTGAACAAAAATCTGGCAGTTTCCAACTATTTGTTAGTTTGAAGTTCTTACCTCACTTCCTAATCCCAGAGTCAGCAACATCATAAAGAACAAAACGGACCATAGAGGCGAAACAGGCAGATTTGCTACCGCAGCAGGGTAAGCAATGAACGCAAGACCAAATTCTGTTTAAAGTAAAATTATACAATTCAATTAGATACAATACACTAATTTATCAATTTCTTTTTTTAAGTATTCGGTGACAGAATACATGCAAGCCGGGGATTTTTCTACCCAGAATAAGGCTAATTTCATGGCCATCTACCCACCTTTATTAACCCCCTTGCCCAACCTTGAAATCCGTTCTTATTATTTACAGATTACCAATGTTATCATCCACCCACCCTCAAAATTTCTACCACACACTTACAGCTACAACTGGCTTCCTATGTTTATAATATCATGGCCGTTAACAAAAGTTAATTTAAGTACAGTACCGGGTTGGAAAGCCTAAACATTAAACTTACGTTCATCAACCACTTCTTCGACTGGTTTGCCAAGCTTGTGGGCCAAAAACCCGAGGATGGAAAAGATGACAAAACCTGCAAAAACACTTGTCAGACAATTGAGGATGGGAACGATCATCGCATCACGCAGACAATTATTATTGAATTTGTTGAATGATGAGAGCGTTATGAGTCCACCCCAAGATGCTGAGAGCGAATAGAATATCTGCACCGCAGCGTCCTTCCACACTTTCGGGTTTTTAAGTAGATGAAATTTGGGTTTGATGAAAAACTCGATTCCCTCTCTATGACCTTCTAATGTGAGGCCACGAATCAGCAGAATGAACAGTACAAGGTATGGAAAGGTGGCTGTGAAATACATAACCTGAAAATATAATATGAACAAGTTAATCAGTATATTTTTATCAATTTTTTTTTTCAGATTTTATTTATTGCAGATCAGTACATTATAATACTGTAAATAAAATCATAACTAATTATCTAAAATCCCCATCATTGTCCTTTTGATAAGCTAAAATTACATCTTTAAAACTAACAAATCAAAAAGAATTCAAAATATCTGCTTTGAGCATGGCGCCCTCTATAGATTTCTATATAAAAAAATACCATGCTTTGGGTGCATGAGAATGGAGAACAGTGATTGGTTGGTCATCTAAACAGCTGGAAGACCATTTACAACTGTTCTCAATTAATCTCAGGAGAAAAAAAGGTCAGTCAGTCAATAGAGGGAGGGAAAATTATTTCGGCCTTGGCAACATATGGTAACTTTCCTTTAGTTATGAATCTTTCCAATCATGTTTCTTGTTCATATTAGTTTTTAAAGCTGCTGCTACAATGTTGGGTATTTTCTTCAGTATATTGAGCATATGTTCCCACTTTGCCTATTTAAAATACTTTCAATTCAAGATAGAGAGAAGCCATTCTTCTGAAATTAACTGATAATATGGGTAGAAAGTAAAAAAATTATGGTAGCACCAAATTCTATATACTGTAGTCTCGTGGATTGAAAAGTATGCTAAATAATTTTATTAGTTTAGTTGATCAAAACTTTAATTCTAAAAACTGAAGATCCTTTTGATTATTTGTCAACTAAAAACAACCAAAAATGTTGCTCATAAATAAAGGAATACAGAAACAAGTTTTGTATGTAATCATATGGCAACTTCAATTTTAGTTCACTTCTACATATAATAACCTTTAAAGAGGCCCCTAATGAACTTTAACCTAAATAAAACTGTCTGTTGGTGCTACCACTCCCAGACAGGGTTAGTTCAACATTCAAGGTTGGCAAACACAAGTTCATGTTTCAACACCATATGTGCTAATACATAATTAACTTGCTGATTAATAAAGCAACCATAATTAATGTTCATCATTTCACTTTTGACATGATAAAAGTTCCATACGGCTTCAACTGAAACTTCATCTACTAAAATGCAATAAAAACTAAATATTGAATTTTGAAGAATTAGCAGGCACCAATAAATATTTACTCGTGATTTTAAGATTTTTTTTTTGTCATCTTAAAAATAATGTTGATATTTTAGAAAAAAGTTATTCCAGAATAAAATAGATATTTACACAACTACTATAATGTTTACTATCTCACCAGATATACCAATGCATTGGTCTTCAGACAATAATTCATAATTTACAATAATTTTTTTACAGTAGGATATCACAAAAGTACATTTTTCCCAAAAAGGACAAGATTGCATTTCAAATGGCCAAATCTCAAAAAATATTTTCCTTCTACTTTTATCTTGAGAATGGTTAACTTTACAGTTGTTTTGTATTTTTTTTAACTTAATAGTGGACCTACTTCCAGTTCATAATTGTTAAATGACATCCAATTTCCCTACAGTGAAAGCCTAATAACTTGCATTTGCTTAGATCTGCAACCAGCACATCTGTTGAATACTTTTTTTCAATCAGGCTGAATACACATGGTCAGTGACACAGCATTTATTAAGGCTGTGCCTATCACTGTCCTCTACCAATTGACTTTGATTACTCAGCATTTTAAATACGCACTGGCTATTGTTACACCATGCTCATCCAATCCACACATAAGGCCCCGTTCAAAAATTTAATAGTTTATCAACCCCTCCCTCATCACTTTTGGGGAAACTCCCGATTTTTTTTTTTAATCAACATATATTTTCTTTCCAAACAATCGTTTTTTTCCATCTTATTTCACTTTAAAACCACACGATTTCTTGCAAATATGTTTACTGGTACAACAAAAACATCTTTTTTTGTAAAAATTTGATTCCACTATTATGATTTTTTAAATATTTGTCCTTAACCATTAATTTACCAGTAAACATCGGTAAAATGGGGGCGGGGCTAGCAAAAAAACAAAACAAAAAACTCTCTCCCTCATCAGTTTTTATTCTTTGATAGGCTGATAAACTAAACATTTTTTTATTAGGGCCTTAGCACACACAGTGTATCACATTATCTTTTATGAATGGATACTTTTTTAACTTTGGTTTGGTTTCAAATGAATTTCTGTTATTTTTAATGAACAATAAAAGTTATTTTAAATCTTAATAATTGCTCTTTTGAGGATGACTACAAGTTAAAATGCAAAAAATTTCATTCAACTACACATTTAACTTGTCAATTCATTATCTGAAATGCTTATACACCGCTTGTGTCTTACTCCCAGATTGATGGAATGTGTACGTCTGTATTATCCACTGATAATTTGTAAAGCCTATCCATGTGGAATATTTCTTGCAGTGTAACTAAAGGTTTTTGACATTCCCCTTATGTTCTTGTATAAAAAGTTGACGAATTATTGAATTTCCTTTGTTCACTTAGGCCTGTTTATTACCTACTATATTGTCTTGATAAGTACACTTCGTGGAAAATAAAAACTATTAATTTTATGCCTTGTTGCCTTCGTCCATTCTCTAAATTTTGCTAATGTTTAAAGAATACACATGCGACAAAATTGGACACCTCGTCTGTGTTTGAAAATCTCATAAACTAGGATGTAAATATTTGCTTGCGATCTCCAAAATTTCCTCTCATTATTTAGTAGTTATAATTCCCATAATAATGGATAGTAATCACTTGAACACCGATCCGCAAGTACTTCCTTATGATCGCAGTGTACATGATTAGAACATTTAGATCAATACAACACATGATAGCTTTGTTCACACAGTAACATTTTCTTTGAAACATTTGTATGCCCATATATAGTCATGATAGCCATTTTGCCACAACATGCCTCATATATGTATATCATAAGTTGTAGCAAAAGTTGAAAGTCAAGTTATTGGTATTTTCAGATACCCGAATATGTGATCTTTAAAATGAGGGGTCATTCATTGAAATTGGTCATTTCAATCCTAAGTTATTGTAAAGTGAAAGTACAGCACTCTTACCCCGGTATTCTTAAAACGAACTTTAGTCGTAGTTCGAGCTAAAACTTTAAAATTACGTCATTTCGTATTCTTAAAACGAACTTCGACTAGCACTACGACTAAATGACGTGAACCTCGACTAAATAAACTAGGATGTAAATATTTGCTTGCGATCTCCAAAATTTCCTCTCATTATTTAGTAGTTATAATTCCCATAATAATGGATAGTAATCACTTGAACACCGATCCGCAAGTATTTCCTTATGACCGCAGTGTACATGATTAGAACATTTAGATCAATACAACACATGATAGCTTTGTTCACACAGTAACATTTTCTTTGAAACATTTGTATGCCCATATATAGTCATGATAGCCATTTTGCCACAACATGCCTCATATATGTATATCATAAGTTGTAGCAAAAGTTGAAAGTCAAGTTATTGGTATTTTCAGATACCCGAGTATGTGATCTTTAAAATGAGGGGTCATTCATTGAAATTGGTCATTTAAATCCTAAGTTATTGGAAAGTGAAAGTACAGCACTCTTAGAGACAAGATAAACATGATTTTGAGTAATTGTCTTCCAAAGTTATTTGTGCATACATTGTTTGATAGAATTAACTATCTAAATAACATTAAATAAACAATTTGTTGACCACTTCCAGAACTAATACTTTGGGACATGATTAATAGATATTAAACTGTTGATCTATTGTGAAAAAAAAATTTGGATTTTTAGGCAAATTTTTGAGCTCCCATATTTTATAGATCATTTACTCAATACTGGCCTGTGCGACAACTTAACCATTTCGTCACCACATGCCTCATATATGATCATGTTGTGATGTTATCATGACCATATTTGAGCATGTCTCATGTTTTTATCAAATAACATTGCACAATCTGGTGAGGGCTTTAAACACATTTCTGAATTACCTTGCCAGAAGACTTGACCCCTTTAGCCAAACAACAGAAGACAATGAACCACGCCAACAACAGGCAAAGCGCCAACTGCCATCTCACTCCTCCGAGGTCTCCAATATCCTCGGTCATCTGCAGCATTTCATAGCTACAAAATTTTAAATACACTTGTTATTAATGATAATGATTACAAACGGCTTATATACAAACTGTGTAAGGGATCATTCACAATTATCAATATTTTTGCAGAGAACTACTGTATTTTTCAGTACCCCCTCACTCTCCTCTGCAAGTGCACAAATCCACAATGTTGATTTTGCAATACTATTGCAATTGGTTGTATAAAAAATATATCATAGCCCCAGTTGCATTCAGAGTCATAAAAATCCATCAAAAAAAATATCCAATTTTTTTTTTTTTTTTAATCAAAATTTTCATGCATGCGATAGTGTCCAAAGTTGCCTACTAGCTACCGTACCGATTATACACTTGTAAAATGTGACAATATGATCGATAAATTAGTCTCTTACCGATAAAACTCAAAGCTGGGCAATTTTCTGTCAGCCTTCAGTGGATCAACATATGCATCAGTGACATTCCCTTCTGCAGTCAAATTGTAATAGCTTTTCTCGGCCGTCGTCAAATTTGTGGTTGCGATGCATTTGCCATCATCCATGATTATACCACCACTAGAAATACAATCTGTGTACAGCTCACTACAGAAATCGGTGTTCCAGTCGTTGTCACACCCAATCCAAGGTAACTTTTTGGTGAACGACGAGAAAAGGTAGTAAATTGTGTACGTGATGATGACATTGTAGTAAATGCACACTAGAAATGAAACCATCACCATACCATACCCAACGCCTGTGAAATCAATCCATGGAAAAGCAATATTAATATTGACTCAATCAGTTTACAGGTACTATTAATATAGACTATTTATAGAATGTATACATATTTTTGTATGCTCATTTTCATCTACTGTAACAGTTTTTCATGAATTTCAGTACGCAAGTAGTTTGTGAGACCACCAAATCATAATGCTGGTTCTCATCTAAGACCAGACTACTTACAGTTACAGTTAATTATTTTATTGACTAGGTACACTGTTAAAAATCGCTGTAGTTTTGACAGTAATTTACTGTAATTCACTACAGTAACATACTGTATTTTTCATTTTACGGTATCATACTGTAAATAGTAAAATATACAATAGTCTACTGTATTTTACAAAATGTTGACAAATATTTTACAGTAGCTTAGTAGACTACTGGAAAATCGCGGCTTTCCAGTATTTTACTGTTTTTATAGAGCATGATGGGAAAGTGTGGCATCATCATCAGTCATCATCTTTGGCGCTCAAACTCGGTCGGCGAACAGCAGATAACCATGCACAGTATTCCAGGTTAGTAACTGCATGATAATAATTGTATTATTTCGAGTTCTATTTTAAAAATATCAGGAACCTAGTATCTACTACAGTATTGACTGATAACAATATTCATAAATATACCTTATTTTTACTGTAGACACTTAAATAATAGAATAAGGCTCGTTAGGCGGGTCTCTTCCTTCCCCGTACTCAGCATCATCACGTTGCCCGCTGGCGCTGCGCGGTTATCGCCTTAGGCTCAATCAAGAGGGGTTCTTTTTGGCCGTCTATTTTTTGCACGAAATTTAGAAACCTGATTATTTAAACAATCTTTATTATTTTTATTGCACTAAATTTATAAACATGATTATTCAAACAATCTTTAACATAAGTAAATTATACACTTTATTGTACGATGTACGTAGCAGACACACATGTAAAAACCTGTTAATAGATGGTGAAAAGTAACATGATACCTGTAGTTTACTTTAGTTTAATTTTAGGTGTTTTTTTTTTTTGTATTTGTTACAACAGGCTCTGGATACTGAAGAAGAGGTAGAAAACCGTGTTGACCTACCAAAGACACCTCATTTAATTGTTAAAGGTATTTTTTGTTTTTTTTTTGTTTTTTTTTTTCAATATTTCATTTACTACATATATAAATACAGTGTAATCATAATATATTAAAATTGCTTTGTAATTCAGTGACAGTTTGTGCTTCAGTAAGGTTTCAAAAGTAATAGTGTTTAATTTTTATTTTTCCTTACAAATGATTTTGTCAGTAAATAAATATTTTGGGTTTTCATGTTAAGTAAATTGAAAAAAAAAATTATTATTTCAGGAGAATCTATATTTACAGCAAAAGAGTGGATGGTAGTCTTGGATGACAAGGTGGCATATGTTATATCACCTTCAGAGGGTAAAGACTTGCAACACTTTTTGCAAGCTACTATGCGTTTAACTATGAGTATCAGGAAGAAGCGGCTACCACATTGGAGTTTATACAAAGGTAAATTAAAAAATTTTAAAATGTACTCCTTATGTGCAATGATAATTCATGTTTTTGTTCACGATATTTTCATTGTTCGCGTTATTGAAAAGCAAGGAAAGGAAGCTGGTGTATTCATAGTATTTTAGACAATGCTTACACTATTTCCATTAATTAGTGTATAAAGGAATCCGCGTGTAAAACAAGAACTAATGTTGAAGCGATTCTCTACACTTTAGTAACTATTGTATATTAAACAACATGTCATGATACATCAACCTTTAAATATTTATTTATTTTTTTTATTTATTTATTTTTTAAATTTATTACGCTTCATCATTGCACAGAAATGACATATACAATTGGGGAAAAAAATGGACAGGAGCAAAAAAGATGAACAGGTTACAAGCACCTCTTACATCCCCTCTTGAAAAAATAACCTCACAATCAAAGATGCAAGAAAACAGAACATTAAAAAAAATACATCATTTTTTAAAATTTCAAGATAAGATAATTAATTATTTATTATTATTTAATTATAAATAACAATACACAAATTAAATATGAAATAATTATATGGTATGTAGAAGATCTAGAAAAATTAATTTTTTAAATTCTTGTTTATTACAGATGCTTAATACGTATAAATCCGGAGGCTGGGACAAAATGCACTACTACAAATAGGACCAGCAAGAAGACTGGTAGACTTGTACAAAGAAAAAGGGAAATAATTAATCCTCATGTTGCCACGTTTATTAAAAACTTAGCAGATTTTGAATGGACGTCTGCTTAGGAATCAAGATATGGATGTCAGTAGATTTATAGAAATAGTTTTATGTACATTAGCCTCCAAATTTTTTTTTCCGCTAATATAGAAGACATGCGATGGGCTGCTACTAACTTTTTTTTATTGGATCTCTGATCCCCTGATCCTCAACTTACTTTAATAAGTGTGGCCTACCATGGGTGTATACTGGATAATGTCTACCAGTAAGGAATATCTTTTAAAGAAGAGTGAAATTTATCATGTCACATAAGTTTAAAATAATATTTTGTTTTTTAAATCATAATTAATTTTCAATTATTTTATTGTTTTCTTATCAAATGGTTTGGTTCCACTTTATTTAAAAAAAATAACCTTTGATATTAAAACTCTGTAAATATATTGTAAATTATAAAGTTTAATGTACTCTTTTTGTATATTCTCTCGGAAAAATTCACTGAGGGGAGGCTATTTTTTACTGTGAAGTGTAAAAGGAGTTTTTTAGTTTATAGATGGATTCAAATTACTGGCTGCCTGATTTTGTGAATTGCATATGTATAGAGTTATCAATTTTCATTTTTTTTTTTATTGTTTTATATGTTGACAAGAGTTTATGTATTGTAGCATCCTCTAATAAACATTTATTACTACAAAGTTAATCACGTATTATTTTCTTTATTTTTGTATGTTCAACCTAAAATTTAGTGAATATAATCATCATCCTCTAAAGTGAAAATACAATTGAAACATTTAGTAACTTATTCCATGTTTCAAATGTATTTTCACTTTACAGGACGATGATTTTTTAATACATTATTATTTCGATCTGAAATACAAACAGTATTTTTTTACAGACTTAGTCGTTTTTCTTACTGGACTTACCAATTACAGCAGAATAATTATTACTGTATATTTGGCTGTAAATCAAATACAGTTTCGTGGCGATCAAACTTGACACTGTCTCTTATACACATCTAGATGTGTATAAGAGACAGTCTAAATATTGTAGGCTAGAGAACACTAAAATATATCTAACATCAAAGTTACAAAAGAAAAAAACTGGATCAAAGTTTAAACTTTCATGAATTCCTCATGTCAGACTAAAATTGAAACCATTTTTAGCAAAATGAAAACAAGAGTAATATACATGTACTGTATACTAACTTGTAAACAGTAGCTAAAATCTATTAAGAGGAAGACAATTGCCTAGTTACATGGGCTACATAGAGGAAGGCAGTTAATTTTGAAACATCTTAGTGTTGTTTGGTGTCACTGTGTTCTTGTGTAAGCTGTGTTCTTGTGTAAGCTGTGTTCTTGTGTAAGCTGTAAACTAAATTTTGTACACCTTTTTCATTTACAAATGAACATTTGAACGGTAGTCAAGTTTGTTTTTTTTTATATTTATTATGTTTCATGTTTGTAGTACTTTCAGTTTACAGTAATGAGATTTACTCCAATTCAGCTTTTAGCTACAATTGTGTTTTTAATTAGATGGCAATAAAGTTAATATGAAGAAGAAACCATTTCCTTATAGGGAAATAAAGGTACTTGGATGCTACACTTTACTAATAATATCTTATTTCAATCATGCCAAAACCAAACACAAGAAGGAAGCATCAGTTTGCATCACTGTCTGGAATTCGTAGCTTGTGTATCTAGACAACCTTTAATTAAAGAACTACGTCATCTTATGCAGACACTGCGCATACAAACATTAACATACTACTGATGGTATCTGATTAGGAATTCTTCAGTGAACTACGTTTAAATTGCTTTTTTCAAGCTAATCTGGCATTACGCCAAATGATTGCGCAGTAAATTATCCAGAGCCAGACTGCAATGAAACCTTTCGTTTTATACTATCAACTGAAAAATTATTCAAAAAAATATACTAAATCGGCAAAAAAAAATAAAGGAATCTGTAAGTCATATTTCTTTCAATAAATTTTATAAAAAGTTCTGAACAAAAATAGACTAGGATTTTAATTTTTTATTTTTCTTGTATCATCAAAAACAAATTTCTTACCAAACTAAAATACAAGATAAGAAACTATTCTGACATTTACAATAACCAAACTGTAGATCAAACTATCATAAAAACTTGCCTTCTCCAAATTAATCCAAATTCAAGTTCTCCATATTAATCCAAATTCAAGTTTAGAAAGTTCATAAGAAGAAAACTGTTTGTACTAGAAACAAAAAATTATTAAGGAGCCCCATTATTAACATCGGCCATGAACCTACACTAGAGTAGGCCTCTATTAAAATAATGCTACTACAGTACCTAAATGTCACTGTGCTTGAAAAAACTAACCCTATTTTTTTTTTTCACCTAAATTAACAGTTAACTAGCACTGGTTTCTATATTCTTAATTACACATTAATGCTCGTAACTACCTTCATCTTTATTCATGTTTAGTATTAGATTTCTCTCACTTATGGTTCTCTTCCATTCATCAATTTCGTCTTCATGATGCACTGAAAACATTCTTTACATGTCATTCATTCTTAATGCTTTTTACGAGCATCGCACGGCTGGAGAACTCAATCATCCCCAAGAATTCATACCTGGCACTCGAAACTGACAATGCTTAACATAGTAAGTGTAACTACCCTGCCCCCATTCCGTCATGCAAGTCAAACTCCAAATTTAAAGCAAGAATGCTTTATATTGTTTATCAATAAATAATTTAATACTAATTAATAAAATATTTTATTTTAAATTGTTTATTTAAAAATTTAATCTTGCATGATTAATTACTCAAATTTACTATAGAACCATGTTTTAAATGGTACTTTTAAAATGTCATCTTACATAATTTATTATTAAAATGTACTCTGAACTATTATAATAGAGCCTTTTATTTGAAATTTATTCTTTATAATGTTTTCGTCTGCCATATAATTAGATATTAATAATTTTAGGTGACATTTATTATATAACAAAATTAAATAAATCTAGTTTTTTTTCATGTAGCTATACGGCGTACTAAAAACTTGGCATGCTACGATACACTATACGCCCAATCAATAACATCAACGTCACTATCATCCTACCAGGCACTCATTTGTACTCCTGAGTGAAGAGAGACAATTAAAAACAATAAAAGTACGTTGCCCGAGAACACAAACAAAATGCAATGAAGGGTTCAGACCCGCAACCTGAAAGGTTGAAAGCTGCTAACGTGTTCTACATTTACATTACATTTACTCCGACTGCCTTATAATATTTATTGCCGAGACATATTGAGGGGAGTAAACCTGCTGTTTGGAATCATTTAAAACAAGAGTTGAAAAGCACTTTGATTGAATTCAACTTGTAATTCATTTCTAAATGGGCCTAAAAAAAACTCCATGCGATGCACATGCTGGCAATCAAATTTAACGTTATCGCATCTCTGAGAAAAATCATTAAATTTATGGCAATCAAACTTGACATTATCGTGTCTCTGAGAAAGATCATAAGAATTAGATACCAACATTACTCTTAAAACATCTAAAGTATTTGGCTTTTCCTCAAATATTTAAGTATCTACCTCTAGTGTTTCAGTCTAATTTAGGCATCCTATATAATTTGTTATTAAATTTCCTGGTAAATCAATTTAAACATTTTTTTCCCCCTGAGAACCAGAGAAGCAGAAGAGTTTTGATCATCTCATTAGATGATGTTTACTGTGCCATTGTTTTATTCAAAAGTTTTAAATACCATAAAGTAAAAATGTTGATTGTTATCTCTAAAAGCCAGACTGAAGTTTAAATTTTTGGCAATACATTTTTCTTTTGCATACATAGGATTAAATTAGACAAAATATTGGTATGCTAAAAGTACTGTTGGTATTATACGAAGAAGTACATTAAACCTCAAGACTATGGGAAATACAATTTGTTCTTTTATTATTTTACTTTGTAGAGTATGTATTTCTGTAGAAAAAAATGTATGTTATTTAAAGTAGAAAGTAGACTACTAGGCTTTATGTCTCAAACTATTAAATTATTGACTACCTTTGAATAACTCAAGGCTAGAAAAAGGATTTAAAATTAACCAAGCATTCCAACAGCTTTTGTTATAAATATGCAATAAAAGGACTGGGCATACCAGGTACGAAGGCTTCAGGCAGTAACAGGTACAACAACAAAAGTAACCCTAAAATAATCTTTATTGAATTTAAAAATCCTTCAAGATCAGGCCTAATGGAAAAGCATGTTTAGGGGTGGGGGGAGAAGGGGAAGCCATGAACACCCAATTCCCTGTTTCTTCCTTCGGGAATATGCTGTTAAATTAAGACTGTATTTCCAATGTTGCCTGCTTTCCTCAGGTCCATTTCCTTAGCATTATCCTTTTCTTTTTTTGTGTGTTTACGTAATTTTCATAATTAAACATTATTAAAAACTAGGACCCAGAATATCGAGAGGAAAAATGTCTATATAATTTTTTAAATAATATACAATTTTTATATTGCACATTAAGCAGGAATGTAGCTATGGTGGTGGGGCCACCCAGCCTTGGAAGATTTCCACCCAGTCTAAAGCCCATTTCATAGGCATCCACCCACCATTACACTCGCATTTTCATCCTTAAAAGATCCTCTCTCAATGCGCTATTTATGAGTTTACCAATGTTAACACCCATCATTAGTTTTCTACAACTTACAACCCTCTATGCACTTTACATTATGTTATTCCTTTTGTTTACTGAGTAATTGGAAGTGTGAACTTCTAGAATAAATTAAATTGCCCTGGGTGTAATCTATTATGTAGACCCCTAAATCCAACATTTCAAGCAAATTATTAAATAATAATTTAAATCCAAAATGGTTAATGTTTCATACATCACCTTAAATAGTTTTAAAAAAATATATTATAAAATAGATATGGAAAACAGTATTTTTTTTTTCTATGCCCTTGTCATGGTTATAAATTATGACTTCTAGGCCCAATACAATACCGCTTGCAACCAGGTGGCTAGTAAAAATACTCAGCTGTTCAAACTTGTACTGCTCCTGAAGATATTTGGCCCCACATCATTCAATGTGCATGCACTGATAGGATAGGATAGCAGTATTTCAGTGTGATCACACCAAAAATAACCCATTAGGTCCAAAGACTTCTTTTCAATGGGGTCCTTCGGTGTGGCTACCACCAGTTTAGCCAACCGAGCTAAACTGACACTCAAAATTTAACTTTCACAGGCAACAACACCCATTTGTGTTAAGCCTATCTCTATGATCTGCCTGCCAAGTTTAAAACTAATAAACATAATATGGAAAATAATTTCATTTATTTAATGTTTTCAAAATTTTTGGTCTAATTACGACTAGATTTATGGGCGTTGCTTGGTAGGGGTAGGGGGAACACATCCTTCCACATTTAAAAATAGAAAAGGCTAGAATGCAAACTCCCTCGACTAGGGCTTTGCCTCCTTCACCCACTAGGTGGCACCCAAAAACACTTCTTTTTTTTGGCATTCAACCCCCACTTTCAATCACGGATCAATTTGTTTTTGCGCAATTACATTATTTCAGCAAAAAGCACATTGCATACCTCCACCATTGGAGTAGCATAAATACGGGAAACGCCACACATTTCCGAGTCCGACTGCATAACCGAGGCATGATAGTAGAAATTCCAAATGAGCTCCCCAATTGCCACGGTCACTTTCTTCTTCATCATCTACATTAGTAACTGGCGGCTTCTCCACAGACTGCTCACACAACTGTAAAAAAAAAAAAAAAAAATTATCTAATTAATACGCAATACTTAAATTATAGACGGGGTGAAAAAAAGTTTGGTATGCCAAAATCGTTATCTAATATTTCCGTAGGTTGTGTGGAGCATATCGGCAAAGTGTATTCTACACACTTCTGACAAACCTCAACAGAAATAGGTCTACTATAAATTAACTTAGAGAAATATAGGTTGAAATACAACATGAATGCTGGTTTCAATATACAAGTTGTAGGTCAAGGGTCGCAGGTTAAGATCCCACAAGTAGTAACCTTTGCAAACTTTCCACATAGTTCTGGCAATGTTTACTTTCCAATCCAACAGGCTCACTGGAGCATAGCTTCAGAACAAAATGGGGTGAAATCAGTCAAGGGAAAAACCAAAACAATAGACAACAAATAGGACTACACCCACATAGCATTTTCACTGTCTGATACTGATTCATTTTTATAAACAGAAAGATTGATACTTATTAAGCCAAAAATATAAAAGTCCCATTAAAAAAAAATCATTAGTTTATCAACCTCAAGTCTTCTATGGTACTAACAAAAAAATAATTGTAAAAAAAAAAACAAAATTATTTTTTTTTTTTTTTTTTCAAAAATTGTTAGTAAATATTGTT